ACTGATTCTCCTCTCAGCAGCCATGATTTTCAATAACTCTTGATCTACAGGTGGAGCCCTGTGAGACTTCCCTACTCACTTTGGCATATCAACTGGTATTGTCACTGTGCAGATCTTCTTTGAGTAGCATTTGTTCTCAATAGCATATATTTTATGTATTTTTAAAGATATATGCACCCATCTTTATGAATGGTTTCACTGCTCTAAAAGTTCTCTCATCCAACTCACCCTTCTCCTCAAAAACACCAACATTTATGGTCCCCATAGTTTTGTGTTTTCTAGAATGTCACAAAGTTGAGCTATACAGTATTTAACATTTTCATATAAGCTTCTTATACTTAGTTATATACATGTAAGATTCTTCTATATATTTTTATGACTTTATAGCTCATTTCCTTTACTGTTGAATAATATTCCAACATCTGGATGTACCACAGTGTATGTACCCATTCACTGGCCGAGGGCATTACTTTTGTTTGGGGGCAGATTCTAGTAAAGTGAATAAAGCTGCTATAAACATCTAAGTGCATGTTTTTGTGTGGGCATGTTTTCAGTTCCTGTAGATAAATACTTGGACACAATTGCTTGTTTCCATGTTTAGAATATTCAACTTTTGTCATTAAAAAAAAAAAAAAGAAACATTTCACACTGGTTCACACTGGCTTCCAAAGCTAGCATTTGGTACCCCTCAGCCCCCCCAGCAGATGCTTGCTAGCTGTCATGTTGTCATTGTTGTGGATTTGGGCCATTATAACAGTTCTGCATAGTGCTAGCTCATTGTTGCCCTAATTTGCAATCCCCTAATGGCATGATGTGGAGCATCTTTTCATATGCTTATGGGCCATCTGTATGTTTTCTATGGTATGTCCATTTAGATTTAGTCTCATTTTAATTTGGTTGTTCATTTTCTTATTGTGGAGTTGTAAGAGTTCTTCGAAAAATTCTAATAGCCATCTTTTATCAAATATGTCATTCACAATTATTTTATCTCAATTTGTGGCTTTATCAAATTTCCTCTAACACAGGCAAGGTGCAGGAACCTCCCTCATCACAACATTCCCTAATAAATTCCATTTAGTGACCACAGCCTACTCTCTCTTGGTCCTTCTTGATCTCTTTCCCCTACAGACACTAAGCTATTTGTTTCATTATAAAAAAAAAAAAAAGAAGAAGAATGTTCTGTAAGTAAAATTAGAGTATATAATCTTAGGACATTAGCTTGTTTCACTTAGTATGTAAGGCTCTCAGAGTTCACCCATGTTATTAATTATATGTTTGTTACATGTATATTCCTTTCTATTAATATCCTATAATATGGTGTGCCATAGTTTGTAGAACCATTGTCCACCACTGAAGGACATCTGAGGTAGTGTGCATTTTTAGATATAACAAAACTATGAACATTTATGAACGTTTTCCCCCCCACAGACCTAAATTTTCATTTCTGTGGGATAAATACTCAAGCATATTTGTCAATAAAGAGTAATTACATGTTTAGTTTTATAAAAAACTTCAAAGGTGCCTTGCAAGGAGGCTACACCCTTTCACACTGCTCTCAGCAGTGTATATATGATTTCTTCTAATTTCCTTCCAAATTGCATGTTGCCACTGCTTTAACTTTAATTCACAGTGATACCTCAGGGTGATATCTCACTGTACTTTTATTTTGTGTTTGCCTAATAGCTAATAGTGTCAAGTCCTCCTGTGTTTAACAACAATCTGTGTATCCTGCTCAATTAATATCAGTTCCTGTATTTTCCCATTTTCAAATTGGATTATGTTATTGATATCTATTGAGGTTTTAACGTTCTTTATATATTTTGGATATAGATTACCCGCTAGATGAGTGATTTGTAATATTATAGCTTGTGACTTATCTTTTAGTCTAACAGAACCATTTGTATAACAAACATGTTTAATTTTAATAAGGTTAAATTTATCATTTTAATATATCCTGCATTTGGTGGAAAATCTAAGAAGATACATACTTTGCCATATCTGCCTTTCAATTAACCTATTGAGAACATTTACATTTAATGCAATGCCTCATGTTAAAGCTTAACTTTATCACTTCGTTAGCTACTTTTAACTTATTTCATGTACCTGCCTTTCTCTTTTCTTGTCTTTGTGTGGGCTATTGAATGATTTTCAGAATTCTTTTTTTGTTTGTTTGTTTTTTGTTTTTTGTTTTTTGAGACAGGGTTTCTCTGTGTAGCTTTGCGCCTTTCCTAGAGCTCACTCTTGTAGCCCAGGCTGGCCTCGAACTCACAGAGATCCGCCTGGCTCTGCCTCCCAAGTGCTGGGATTAAAGGCGTGCGCCACCACCGCCCAGCAACCAGAATTCTTATTTTTAATAGTATTTTGAAGTATATCTCTTTATGTAGTTTTATTGGTGGCTATCTTACAGTGTACATCTCTAAAGGGCTGCAGGTACCTTAAATAGTTTTGAAGGCATAAATACTAGAGGAAAAGAGATCAATAAGATTATTGAGATTATTACAAGTTTGAGACGATTCCTGCTTCCTAAGCCAACTGTCTAAAAATCAGCCTAAGTGTTCTAGTCTCAGTAACCATTCCCTTCCTTCCCACATCATAAAGCCCATTCTGACCTCTTTCTAGTCACCATCATAAGCATTGATTGCTGAATCGCTTCGCTTCTCTCTGTTCTCTCCTCCCACCATGTGAGCTCAGACAGCCCTCATCACTCCCAGATACTGGTTCCACTGCCTAACCCGTCTCTCGTCTCTCTCCTGCCATACTGCCCCTCCTCCAGTCTCCTCCTTACAGCTATGGCACTATGGCTAAACTCAACCTTTATCTGGCACATTATAGGTGACCAACTCCCTAGCTTTGTGCCTAGGGCTGATGGCATTCTTGAAAAACAAGACTTGTAATATTAGAAGTGGCAGTTTTCAGAGTACTAGGTCAGATGGTGACTTTGGCCTCATTGACTCCTCCAGGTCCTTGTCCTCAGGAGATGGGGCATATTCACTTGTGTGGACTTGAAGGCCTGCCTGCTGCTTCTCCCTCAGTTACAAGCCCACCTCCTCTCCTTTGTTTGGGCTTTACCTGCATACTTCTTATTCCTACACCTAAGGTCCTCTATAGTGGACATTTTCCTATGTTCTTCTTCTCGCTCTTTTCACCTTTATGTTCTTTTATTGCCTCACTTTCATCTAGAACCTTCAAGATTTCTAAGACTGCATGTCTAGTTTTCTCTTTGTCCACCTAATCCTAATTCATTACAGAACTAACGGCAAGTAATGGCCCCTTCTGGCCACTATAATGTCCTTGAGAACAGGAGCTGTGTTGTACTCTGTCTACTTTAAAGACAGTCTGGGATCTAGGAGGCCCTCAGGAAACACCCATTGTCAAGATAATAAATTTCATGAGAAATATTTGAGGTCTTAAAGGGCAATTGCTTTCCAAAACGGTTTATTCCTACATGTTACCTGATGTGGGTTGTCTTTCTGTATGCTGTAAATATGTGTTGCTCCCACTGGTTAATAAATAAAGCTGCTTTAGCCTATGGTAAGGCAGAATAGAGCCAGGCAGGAAATCTAAGCAGAGATACAAAAGAGGAAGGGCAAAGTCTGGGAGATGCCACCTAGCCGCCCAAGGAGCAACATGCCAGCAGACTGGTAATACCACGACCATGTGGCAAGACATAGATTAATAGAAATGGGTTAGTTTAAGTTGTAAGAGCTAGTTAGTAATAAGCCTGAACAATAGGACAAGCATTTATAAGTAATATTAAGTCTCTGATTATTTACAAGTGGCTGTAGGACAGGGCGGGACAGGAAAGCCTCTGTTTACAGTTACCAGTGTGTTTTAGATCAATATGACAAATTAAAACTTAAATATTGATACTTTCAAACTACACTTAAAAATGTTTGCTTTTACCAGTTCTCCTGAAAATCCATTTTCAGAAACAAAAGAAATGTTAATGGTATATTCGTTATACATTTTCAGAGCACTGTGGCCTTTCCAGGATTTTTTTTGTTTTGTTTTGTTTTTTGAGACAAGGTTTCTCTGTGTAGCTTTGCACCTTTCCAGGAACTCACTCTGTATAGTCCAGGCTGGCCTTGAACTCACAGAGATTCGCCTGCCTCTGCTTCCCGAGTGCTGGGATTAAAGGCGTGTGCCACCGCCGCCCAGCCAGAATTTTTTAAAGTGCTGTTTCTGGTCACTTATGAAAGCTGCTGGGGAAATGCTTCTAGGGAGCAGGTCCTTACTTCCCTCCATGGCACAGTGGGTTCCTGTCTTTAGCATCTGAGATGAGTGCTGCCTTTGATTTCCCTGAGGTTCCAGAAGTAACAAACCAAAGAGTCTCTCTCTGTCTCTCTGTCTCTGTCTCTGTCTCTGTCTCTGTCTGTCTCTGTCTCTCTCTCTCTCTCTCTCTCTCTCTCTCTCTCTCTCTCTCCTCTCCTCTCCCAATGTCCAAGAGAATGCAACTCTACCCACAGCACTCACACGTCTCCAACAAGTGGCCCAAACGCAGCAGCTGCAGACATCCTTACATCCAGACTTTAACCCAGAGGAGACATTTTTGGACAAGGGTGGATGAGGGATTTCAGCAGAGGACTCAGGACTCCAAGTGCTGACATGCAGGATGAGGATGGTACGGGAATCACTGTGACAGTTATGTCACTACAGAAAAACAAATAGAGGCTGCACCCCCAGGAGACAAGCCACAGGGCCAGGCTGCCTCCATCTTAACGTCCAAAGCAGGAAGGTCCTGGAGAGTCCTTTAAGGCAGCCCAGGGAGTTTTCCCACCCAGGAACTTTATTTGAAACCTGGCTCCTGTTTTCATTAGCTGACATCTTTGGGGTCATGATTAAAGTGTGAAAATATGAAAGGAAGGGATGCCAGCAATGGGATTTATACAATGAACGTCTTGGATTTTCCAAGAAATGATTTTCACAAGAACCACAAGATGGCATTGTCTGCTGTGGGACTGAGTTCTGACACAGCAAGAACTGACAGCAGAGACCGGAAGGCCAAACTGTTTCATATCCCTCATTTTATTTCAAAGGCCGGCCTTCTTCCACATCTGCCCTATCCAGTGTGCTCTGAGCCCCTGGTGTGCTGAATCCTAAGAGAAGGTAAGTGACTGGACACAAAGGTGGGCAGCCTGGATAAGGGTGCTGTAAGACATAAACAGCACAGTAGGGTGAGGTGGGGAGACAGTTGTTGTTCTGATTGGCTAGCACACAGGATGGACAGATTCCATTTGCATTTACACACCAATACAAAGGAGAGTTTGGTCTGATGAAGCTGTAGTTCAAACAATTCCGATATTTGTTCAAATTAGTCAGCTATTGAATATTTTATTCTTTCTGTTTGATATCATATATCCACATACACAGACAATTAGAGTTCCCTCATAGTCTGCATAGGATGGAATGGTGCCTTTCACCTCAAGACTGTGAACATGGTACCTTAGCGTAAGACAAAATGGGACAAATTCATAGCAAGTCCCCTGTCCTTTATAGAAGTTGCTCATTGGAATCTTCAACCATCTCAAGTGTAGTGGGCTAGACAAGGGAACCAAGGCTAGGTAGTCCAAGATCACAAAGTGGTACTCTATGATTTAGCCTTAGGAAATCTGATCCTAAGGCTCGGGGGTTTGCCCTGTGCCACACTGTTGTTTGTCCTGTGCCACCACACTGTTCTCAGACACTAAACAGTGGAACTAAGCAAGGGTGTGAGTTCTCCCTTCAGCTACAGCATGCCTCTCTGTATGGGGGTGATGGGCTGCAGCTGCACATGTCCAGAGCCATGATAGGCAGGGCCCTGGGTACCCCATATTTCTGTTCTTTGATGTTCTGGTTGAGATACCTGAGTAATGGAGCGCAGGCCATAATTGGATAATCTTTTTACCTCAGTGGACCACAAATCGGTTTGCACTGATCATTCAACAGAGAAAACTTTGGTTATGAGTCATTATTTTTCCTGTTTGTTCCATGACATATGCATGTCCAGACCTCACCTTAGTTTGATGATGATGAGGAGAATGCAACAGTCTGAGGTGCCTGATAAATAAGATATGGTCCCTGTCCTCAAGGGACTTAGAGTCAAATAAGAGTTTTCTAAGTATTATAAAAGAGGTAGGCAGTGGAAGCCGAATGAACATAGAGAATACTCACTCCATCTCCAGGGCTCAGTGTGGGTTGAGGAAATTTCCTGAATATAGGATGCATCTGGCTGGTCTTGAAGGATAAGTTAGAGGGTAAGAGATTAGCTGAACTGTGTCTTTCCCTTACTGCCTACATTTCATTAGACACCTTCTCAGTAGGAGCAACTCTACCAGGTTTGTATCGGATAATGATTTGAAGGCACCAGGGTCTTTCTTCATCTCCTCTCCCTTGAGGGGTGCCTTACTCCTTTCCCTGAGAGACTCATCTCTGGAGACTTCACTATCTAGGCTCTGTTAACTTGGTCATCAACTGGGCTTGGCCAGTGTGGAAGGAGATGATCTTACTAGCAACAGGAGAGAGCAGAAATTATGAGCCACAGCCTTTCTGGATATGCCTGGTGCTGACCCTGCCTGTGACTATGGCTTCTGTTGGAGGCACTGACCTTGGCTATAGCTGTCCAGTAGACTCTGGGAAGCCTATTGGCACTTATTTCCCATTGCTTGTCCTTGCATGCCATAATGGCTCCTCTTGGCTACTTAACTCTACTGATGTTATGCCTCTTTGAATCATTCTTTCAGTCAAAAAATTCTTGATGAGTCCCACACAAAGAGGGCATATAATGTTCAGGAGATCCTGACTGATATATGTGAGAGAAAAGAGATTTAACTATTCCCACATTTATTTTTGACAGTACCCGATCCCTGAGAGCAGAATGGGAGCATATTTAATGTCAGTGGACTGAGTAAGTACTCTTTGCCAGAACCATTTGCATTTCTGACTCCCCATAAAAAATGGAATCATAATGGAATCCTTGTCTATGGGTAGAGTGGATGAGATGCAATCCACCCTAGCTAGTATTTCTTGAGTTCTTTAGTATGTGTTAACAGTGTGCTGGCTCGAAAGCCACAGAGAAAATAAGGAAAGTCTTTCCTTAACAAGCTCATAGCCTGGATGAGAAAGAAACCTAAATCATCAGTTTAAGGAAAGATGGTACTATCTGGTGTACCCTGGGTTTGATGTAACAACAAATCAATCTTGAAAAGCAAGGAGATTTATACCCTAAAGGTTACTTCTCTTTCCCGTGATGCCTAAGGCACGAGAAGCAGCTATATTGTGGCTGCACCATTTGTAACATGTGGGTTCAAAGATTCTGGCAGAGAGAAAAAGAGATGGTGGGAGGGAGAGAGAGAGAGAGAGAGAGAGAGAATATCATCATGTTAAGCAAAGGATCCTTCTGCTCACAACCCTGCTGTGCCTAGAAAACTCCTACAAGGGCTCACAGGGGGTCTGGTGGGGAGGTTGTACTCAGGAATGTGAGGTGATGAAATGAATATGGAAGATGATAAAGATACACGAAATGGAATGGCATTCATCCACAAAGAAGAATGAAATCATGTTGTTTGCTAGGAAACGGATGGGACGGAAGAGCATCACAGTACATGAAATAAGTCAACCGCAGAAAGCCAATTATTGCACTTCCCTCCCATTTGTGGGCCCTGGGGTTCTGTATAGCTACATAAAGTC